CATCTACGGACGTAGACTCGAGGCAAGGTATTTGCATTGCATTACGAGAGCTCGTCGTTTCTGCCACAGCCGAGTCACTTGAAGATTATGAAAAGATTCTCATATCTATTGTGCGAACTGCTCTGGTGGATCATGATGAGGCGGTCCGAGAAGCTGCTGCCGAAGCGTTTGATGCCCTGCAGCAAGTACTAGATAAGCGAGCAGTCGACCAAGTTCTACCTGATTTGCTTCACCTTCTTAGAAGTGAGGCTGATGCACAACAAGCACTATCTGCTCTCCTAACATTGTTGACGGAAACTACGAGAGCCAACATAATCCTCCCGAATCTCATTCCAACATTACTTACTTTACCTATCTCCGGATTCAATGCAAGGGCTCTGGCATCATTGGCTGAGGTAGCAAGTTCTTCGATGACTCGGAGGTTGCCTGCAATATTAAATGCCTTTATGGATACTATCGTCAATACCAGCGACGATGAACTCAAGAAGGAAGTTGAAGAAGCTTTCGATACTATTCTGGAGTCTGTGGATGAATATGACGGACTGAATGCTTCGATGAGTGTGATGTTAACCTTAGTGAAGCATGAGGACCATCGCAAACGAGCAAATGCAGCCACTCGCTTAGGAAGATTTTTCTCCCATGCGGACGTCGACATTTCGCGTTACCATCCCGATTTAATTCGTGTTTTACTTATCTCATTTGATGATCACGATAGGGATGTGGTAAAGGCGGCATGGGAAGCCTTAACACAGCTTACTACACACATACGAAAAGAGGAAATGGAAGTTTTGGTCATTCCCACGCGCCAAGTTCTGCGGCAAGTTGGTGTTCCAGGATCTGACCTTCCAGGATTTTGCTTGCCGAAAGGAATTGGAGCGATATTCCCCATATTCCTTCAAGGCCTTCTCAATGGAAATGTGGATCAGCGTGTACAATCTGCGCTTGCGATTGCTGATATCATTGACCGGACAAGTGCGGAAGCATTAAGACCCTATGTCACTCAAATAACTGGTCCATTGATCAGAGTTGTCTCGGAGCGGTCTGTAGAGATCAAGTGTACGTTATCTCGACAACCTGGTCGGTTTGCGACTGTATGCTAACAATGTGTCTTTAGGCGCTGTTTTCTTGGCTTTGAACAAGCTTCTTGAAAAAATTCCTCTATTTGTGAAGCCCTTCTTACCACAACTACAGCGGACATTCGCCAGAGGGCTAGCAGATACTTCGAGCGATGTATTACGGAAGAGAGCTAGCAAAGGCTTAGGCATACTGATCACATTGACGCCTCGAGTTGACCCACTCATAGCAGGTAAGCTTTTTATCTTAGTCCGCTCCGTGACATGACTTGCTAATATAGTGGTCCAGAACTTGTTGCTGGCTCCAAAACCTCCGACTCGGGTGTCAGAAATGCCATGCTTAGAGCGCTGTATGAAGTGGTAAGCAAAGCGGGTAAAAATATGAGCGACACATCTAGACAAACAATCCTTACTCTTATTGACGATGAGTCCAATGGCCGAGATGGTATGTTTCCATGAACCCGTCTTCCGATCAAGTCCTCAGTGCTGACCCGCCGTAGATACGATGAATATTACAAACGCTCGACTTCTCGGCGCTCTTGTCAAAACTCTTCCAGCTACTACTGTCGTTCCACTAATAAAGTAAATATGATTCATATCCTTACAAATTTGAATTCTATCGCCTTCAGAAGCTAACCGTATATTTCTAGGAGCCGTGTTCTCTCGCCTCACCTAACTCATTCCTCGGTTCTAAACCTCAATGCACTTCTGGTGGAATCTGCAGCATTGCTCGTGGAAAACTTTCATTCTGAGACTGCATCCGTCATATGCAATGGCATTTCAAATAAAGACGTAAGTGCTACACAAGAGCTTTTGATCGAAGAATTGGACGCTAATATTTACTATACAGACATTCATATCAGACAACAGCGTGCTTGCAGCAGGCAAGTATCTTCTATCAGAGGACATAACCCGTAACTTCGAAACGGATAAACCATTGGTAGAAGCTCTCGCGCCTGCAATCAAACCTGGTGGGCCCACCGACACTCGCCGGATAGCTTTGGTCATTGTTCGAACTGTCAGCCGTCTGCATCCGGAACTCCTTCGTCCTCATCTCCCTCTCCTTGCGCCTCCCATCTTTGCCAGTGTGCGGGATGTTGTGATCCCTGTTAAACTGGCAGCGGAGGCAGCATTCCTGGCGCTGTTTTCAGTGGTTGAATCCGAAAGCACTGTATTCGAAAAGTATATGAATGGCCCTGGAGCAGAGTTGCCCACCGGTACGAAACGGAGCTTGCAAGATTACTTCAAGCGCGTTGCTCTAAGACTTGCCAATCAAGCACGGGAGAGGCGAGAAGCGGAAGGCGGCCAAGGGGGCTTGGGCCTTTCCAGCGACGAGCTTGAAGACGAGAAGGAAGTTTGGAGTGTGGGTAAAATCGACTTGGACGAGTCGACAAGCGAGGACTGATGCTGATTGTGACGCAGTGGTGGATCATATATTTTTTATTTATCATTTACAACGGATCCTGGACACAAGAGTTTGTCCGAAGTAGTACTTTTATGCATATATACAAAAATGGCTTGGCGATATAATGGATGAATCTCATCACATGATCTTCTCTCACTCTAACATACATTCATCATCGCAATCACATCTACAGACAAATTTTACACCAATAATAGGGCTGTATGTAAAACAATACCGTCATCTAGAGCTTACAGAGCTGAAATATGCCAACGTCTAGATACAAATTGTTCCTCAAATCTGGTCCCCACTGGGTCCAGGCGCTGTCCCGATCCGGTCTAGCGCGCGCAAGCCCTAAGTGTGGACTTTTTTCTCGCTTAGCAGCCGCTGCTTAGCTAATCGCCCATTTCCCCCCATCCCCAACCCAAACCTGTCGTCGTCGTCGATATTGATTGTAGAATTCGAATATCCAATCCGTCAACGACCGACCATCGATAATAGCCGACATCAAGATGTAAGTTCCTCCTGCATCACCAGCCACCATTCCTATACCATCTATCTCGAATTTCCCCAGCCCTCTAGCCGTCTAGCGTTCAGCCTACACTCGCAGATTTGAACACAAAAGAATCTGTATCCCGGGGGCTCACCTCTCCCCTTCCTTACAGCGCGCATAAAATCCCCAAATCCAGCGAAGAGAATTCTCACTGACAGAAAAACTATCGTTTCTTGGAAAATGGCAGGGTCAACCTTCGTACCCAGAAGCGCCTGGCGGCCTCCGTTGTCGGCTGCGGCCAACGCAAGATCTGGCTTGACCCCAATGAGGTCAACGAGATCTCCACCGCCAACTCCCGCCAGACCATCCGCAAGCTTTTGAGCGATGGCCTCATCATCCACAAGCCCGTGACCATGCACTCGCGTTCCAGAGCCCGAGAGCTCGCAGAGGCCAGAAAAATCGGACGACACCGGGGTTTCGGTAAGAGAAAGGGTACCAAGGACGCGAGAATGCCAAGGTATGTCGAATTCTTGCTTGATGGGATTGAGGGATGAAATTTTGTGGTTGGAGATTTGATGTATTCCGGCGTTTCGCGAGAGTCAGATGGACTATTTTTGATATATATTGGGTGGAAGTTTTGGCAAACATGAAAAGAGGGATTATAACCTGAAATGTGTTTGGATTATGTTGCTTACCAGTCATTTTTTCTTCAACCTTATAGCCAAGTCCTGTGGATGCGCCGTCTCCGAATTCTCCGCCGTCTGCTTGCCAAGTATCGCGCTGCTGGCAAAATCGACAAGCACCTTTACCACGAGCTGTACCAGTTGAGCAAGGGTAACACCTTCAAGCACAAGCGTGCTCTGGTTGAGCATGTAAGCATACCCACACCCCATTTACATACAAATATTTTTATCTACGCCCTTTGCTCTTCCTTTGAGCAACTAAAAAAGAAGAAATATGAAGAGCAGCCATCATTTATACTTCTAGCGACCTACAAGCCATAATCTGCTCGATAGTTCAAAGCTAATAATTCCTCGCAACACAACAGATTCACAAGGCCAAGGCTGAGATGGCCCGCGAGCGTACGATCAAGGAAGAGATGGATGCCAAACGTGCCAAGGTCCGGGCTGCCCGCGAGCGACGACAAGAGCGTATCATTGCCAAGAGAAACGCTCTCGTGGCAGAGGGTGAGGAGGGACAGGAGTAAATGCCTTGTTTGTGTTTTTCTTTTTCATGGGCCCACTACTAGGGAGGTGTTTATATTTTCCTTGTTAGATGATTGCGTGAGAGAACAAACAAATAACAAATGGGTCTTTGTTAATTTTATGTTATTTTCCTTATTTCCTCCCCCTTTTTTTTTTCCTTTTTGATCTTGTTGCAACACTAGCAAGCAAAATATTATGACAATCCTCCGGCCTTTCGTCCTCATTTTCCTTCCCTAGCTTCCTACATTTTGGAACCTATCTTGTGTATCCTTGATCTATCGGATGAGGAAGAAGAAAAGGAAAATAAGGCAAAATTAGATTTGGACGACAATCACTCGCATGAAAGTGAATAGGCAAAGGCACAAAAAAGATGCAAAAGAAAACGAGCAAAACGATCGACATGATGTAAAAGAATACAATAATAAATACTCTCCCAAAACATCAATGTGAGACATTCATTATTGCTCCCTATCCTCTTATACTGAGGGAATATCCCTCAAAAACCGCCAATTAAGAATCCTATCTTTATAAACCACATTCAATCGTGTATGGAATTAACCCATGCCGCTACTACTATTCCGTCTCCCATTCTCCTTTCGCGCTAGAACGGATTAATTACATTTACACAAACATTAAACGTGCCAAGTCCGACACCAGTACACTCTACGACATGGAATCCTCAGCGCAGGCATTCCCGGCTGACCGTAACTAATATGACATGGGGAGAACGTTTCCCGTGACAAAAATTCAATATACAAATCCTCCCATAATACATTCGAAAGTTCAACTTTAATACAATACTTGTGCTCGAATATCCCATTATGAAATCAATCGTGAGGAACGCAACGGGGCAACAACAACCGCGGATTCCAAGTGTCCGGGAGTTCAGGAGTAGGAGCATCGTCTGCAGGGCTGGAGTTAGGCCTTTCAAGGTCGAAAGGATCACTTCTTCGAGTATCGAGTCTGCTCTTTTGTGGGGAACGGTTAGTTCGCCTGTAGGAAATATCTGATGCTGAAGCCTGGAAGATGCCAGAGGAGGCTTCGCTCGTTCTCCCGGGGAGCACGATAACGCTGTCGCTGCTTGCAGAGTTGCTCTCTATTTGGGATGCCGTTGAATCGTTTCGTTGAGGAGGGAAAGGGGCTCTGACATCCGGGTGCCTGAAACAAATACCTAGTGGTATAGGAGAGGTTGATTAGGAATAAGATTTTGGATTCCGCCATTATTGTCTAGCATCAAAGAAATGCTCATAGGTCGCCTGGCTGTGTTTGACGGATTTTAATGAGAGGAGTAGGGAGGAGTTGTAGGACGCCGCAAAGAAATTTCCGGGTCTAAATCTCGAGGCGGGTCAAGGAAGGGGTCCGAGAAATTGGCGCTATACGGCGGGAGTTCCCAATGACTGATCCCGGGATGTTCGGGGACGGAATACAATGCCATGCATCGTCCCGGAGTTGGCTTGAGTGACTAGGTAGACTCGCCTTTCCAAGGAGCCTAATAGTGTGGTTTTTCTTTGCGCTAAAAGGGGAAGTTGGATGGGGAATTACATTGTGTTGCTCAAAGTGAGTTGAGACGCTGCGCATATGTGAGTGTATTCCACTCATTGGATACTTAGATGATCGAGCGGGCCTAGAGGATATGCGAGATGATTTGCCAATTTTACGCTTCTTTTCGGAGCTCAATCTAGCCGTCCGTTCCATAGCGCATTGTTTTCGTCTCCGCCATCGCAACACCACAAAAACTGCAATTGCAATGAGAATTATGGTCGTGACGCTGACAGATCCCCCGATAATGACTCCCATTTCAAGAGGATTGAGCTTCGGGGAGCTCTATATTGCTGTGCGCAGGCATATTTACTCCAGTCAGGGTGGGTGTTGTCCATATCTGAGTTGCTCCCTGTGAGGAAGAAGAGAGAGCAGGGTTCGTTGGTGAAGGATTAGATTTGAGAAGGGGTGACAGCGATCCCAGCATTCAGTCGATGAGAGGATAGGAGTATGCTTGTTACAGGATTGCCTCGAGAACTGAAGTTATGGGCCGTGGGCAAAACAGAAGCGCTTCTGGATAATATAGAAGCGATTCGGGAAACTGACGAGATTGTAATCGTCGTCGCAGCACTAGTGGTACCATGATGGGCACTTCTGACTATAGGGTGCTCTCGACCATTGAAGGTCGTTGTCGACTTCGACATTGTGACATTGCGAAATGCCAAATTGCCGACTGCAATGTCCCGGGCCCCAACAAAACTATCCATACCACTATCTCACCAGCGCCGATTCAAACTCTAGAGGTGAAAGGAGTTTGGGACGAAATGGCTGGATGACTAAGGTAGTAATTGAAATGAAGAGGAAGAACGAGGTTTCGAACATACCCGTAAGAAATGGTTGCACGAAGACTCTCACAGAACCGCTCTGGCCTGGGATCGGATAAAATGAGATTAGAGAGAGCCGAAGACAAAGTAAAAGATGCAAATGTTAAGACATATGGAAAATGTCGAATAAGGTAAGTAAGAAGTCTCCAGGCAGGGAGGAGGCCAAAATAGATAGATACCGTGGACGAATCATAGTGGAACGAGTCGTGAAAGGAGACTGGGAACGTATAACCCAATCATTTGAAATATGTCAGCATGAAAGACGGAGGATTGTCAAGTTCACCCACCAACTCTGATGAATGGGGACTCCAGATAAATATCTCAGTTTCAGAATGACAACATGCAAGCATTGCTGGAACAGCAGCCGTATCCATCCCCGCCGTCCCTGGTGCACAGACAAAAGTTACATCATTGATGGCGAAGAGATGAACAGGATTCAGAATTAATTTAGTGAACAAGGTGAGCTCTTGAGGCAGGAGAAGAGGGAAAATCCCAGAATGACAGAAGACATGCTACTCGACGCACATCGAAGGCACGATGTCTTTCTTACCCCGTGTAGCAGAAGTGCATGTGATAGGGGATTTATGAATACACTAGGCAGGAAACGGAGTGTAAGCTGGATTTAGCAACGTTCATGTTTCGATAGGCCAGAATAACCATGTAAGAGACGGCACTGAATATTAAATGGCTTCAAAATAGAGTGTACTCTTGGCCCTTTAAGCATAGCTCATACTAAGGGTTCTCTTTCTCTATATCTCCCTAGGCCCTAGCATATAACGAGATTACCTAGAGCCTAGAGGAAGAGCTAGTGAAAAGATGAGACAATGGAGGATCCAAGCCATGTTGTGAAGAAGAAATAAGGGGATCTCAATCTTTTGAAACAGCTTTCATTAACTTTATTTATCACTAAGCCGGATTGTGACAGAAGAAAGACTGAAGGCCCGGGGGCCTGACAACAGGAGAAGCATCTGGTCAGTGAGAACAGCAGAGCAGCGGAGAAGAAGTAGATGAGAGCTTGAAGATGTGGCAGTGTGCTGACGATGAAGATGAAACCGGACTGAGGCTCAAGCGATGTGAGGTTGATTTAGGCAGTTTCCTGTTCGGGCATGAGGCCCTGGAAAGGAATAGCGTGGTTCCAGGCTGGCTTGAAAAGGAAATCCCGGAGCAGATCCTAGACGGGGTGGTGAATGTTGGAAAGGGAAATAAATACTTGACACACATGCCCATAAGTAGAGTACATAGGGAATGTACATGTAACTATGTCCCTGTATCAATTTATCAAAAGGGGTCGAGGCAAGCAGAGGTCGGAACAAGAGAGCTCACACTTTTTATCCGTGGTGGCTTTTGCCCCGCTCAGTTAAACATACCCCGCCGTTGGGATCCGTTCTCACTGTCTACATTCATCGTTAACCTTGTTTTGTAGGGCTCACTTGAACTTCGACTTGGCGTTCGAACCAAACCACCTCCTTGAATCAGGGAGCTGCGTGTTGTACATGTACATGTACATCCATGGATAGCAAACCTCTTGTGGGAAATTTGAGAACTCGACGAACCCAGATGAGGAAAGTTGAACTTCTTCCTAGCGGGGTACCATTCTATATTCCTTAAAAATAGACACATTTCCATGCCTACTAAGTATATTCACCCTATGAACTTACGAAATAGTGGAATGGTCCACTTGCCTTCCTGCGGAAGCGCGGGTGCATCAATTCACGGTAAGGATTGGGCCTGACTTATTGTTGCTGGCTTTGATATAAGTTGGCTCGTTGTATTCCAGTTCCTCTATTTTGTGCGCCTTATTATGTGTCCAAAATAGAAATTCTACAGACTGATAAAGGGCATTAAATGCTAAAAGATGGCTATTCCTTATAAGTTACGCCCTCGATTGCTCTCCGGCATTGTCACTCTTTAAGTCTGCCTAACTGATGAACAAACAAAGAATTCCGAAATTTCGATCCCAAAGCGGGCTTAATTTCCATTAACTACATGTACAGTACTCCGTACATAGTAGCTTCCTCTTCAGTGTGTCTAGGTACCTGGTATTGTTAGCCATTTTCGTCTCTGCACTGTACACATTGTTTCCCACATATTGTAGACTTTTCCCATTGTTCACACCCAAAGGTGTATTTGCCCTGCCCTTGAATCTCAAGCATCCGTCCTCGTCCCGAATTCCTCTGCCGCCTAATGATTGGATACAAGCATCTTGGTGCCTTAGCTAATTCGACCGTTGATTTTGTGCCTAACACTATAGGCCATTTTCCCTGCTTGTGATGCACCTTGACCAAACAGGCTTATTACCCGCACTTCCGGGGTGAAATGCCACTCTAGCTTCTCCGCTCTGCTGTGTTGACTGGTCTAATTTGCAGTCATCCTGGCGACAACTCGCAGTAGCTGCAGGCCTCGCAATCCAACGGCAGTCGGTTTTGCCAGCGCACCCACAAAGCACTGCGAACGAGGGAAAAACAACATGATCGGAAGAAAACCACGAGGAAAGCCGTCGTAGCAGTATTCTCAATAAATCTATCCGTTAATCGAGGAGAACCTACTCACAACTGCATGAACTTGGTGGATAATTATAATTCGCCCCCCTCACCATCCTTTATCAACCGGATAGCTACTTGTTCCAAAAGCGCCCGGAGACCACAACCTCCCCTCAACAACAACGGTTGCCACCAGCTTCTTGTACGCCCCGAATTCATCGCCCAGATCATCGTTCATATGGGATTTCCTACTGCTACAACTATAGTTACCTTCCCCTCATAAGCAGACGGGCCATATTAAATTATTCGTGGCTGGAAAGGACGTATAAATTCTACTTCAAGTCGAGTGTCCGCAGAACATTGTATCGCCAACCCGAGGACGACTCCAACAGCGATAACCTGCCACCATGTTTTCTTGGGGAGGCAACCTATGTAAGATTCTAATTTCCTGATTCTCTATGCCTATTCTCTTGTTCGCCATGGCTCCCACGTTTCCATGCGGAGTACATTCAACACAAAACACAAAACACGATTCACAAAACAAACATTCCTATAACCGTTCCGGGGTTCTATTCCATTTCTGGTGTGCTGCATCGTCGATCTGGCGGAGGACGTTCCTCCGTAATTCGTTCTCTTTGCCGAATTATCAATTTCGAAGGGGGGAAGAGCAGCCAAAGCCTGCGCGATGCTGGCATCAGTCTACTGAAATTGTGAAAACCCATGCACAAAATAGTGTATTTTCATCGTTTCCATGGCATATGGGTTATTTACCACGATCGTTTTATACATGCCATCCCCCTCATCCCATGCACCTATTTATTTCTTCTGTTATCATCTTTTACTTAGCCAACTCCTGAATGCGTGCGAACCTATATAATTTTGTGTGTATTTCAAAACTAACAACTGACCAGCGGTACCGTCAATCAGTATTGACCCAGAAAAGGAGAGAAACCCTCCGGCTTTGCCAACACCTCTTGATTTCCCTAACTACTCTCCCGAATCAAAGTCCAAGCCACTTAATGGGGGAGGCCGCGATGACTTCCACAAGCTGCTATGTGCTATTAAAAAACCTCAAGATGTTTCACCCGCACACCTGGAAGCTTTGAATCTTACTACCGAGTCCAATGTCCCTATCTCAGAAATCATTCCGTCAGGGGTCTTAAAAACCCTCCCTCCCTACCAATGGACAGGTCAACCCACAGCAACAGGAGGGCAAGGAACGGACGAGATGCCCGTTCCGGTTCTAATGAGCAACGGTTCCCCGTTTCCAAACAAGGAGAGATATGACCTTCTAAGGGAGGAAATCCTCTATGATAACGATGCTGCCGTTCGAGCAGTTTCACGGCTACCTCCTCGACCCCGCCGTGAGAAGATTAAGCTCACCCAGAGCAGAAAATTTTGGGCCGGTCTTGACCAAGTATCCCAATATTGGGACACCAGTTTAGATCAATACTTTGAACGCCCTGTGACGGATGATACCCCCGGGGAGGAGAATGAGGCCTCGGGTAAAATGCAGCTCGATGACCCCCCAAACGCTGAAAAGCAGAGTGGTGCCGTTCAGGACAGCGAAGAGAGCTCCGGAGTCGGATCTCAGGCCGAGGACAGCGGTAATGAAGCATCTCAAACCCCAGGCACAAAAACAATGTATCGTGGCCGAAGGATTGGAACAGGTCGTGAATGCCCAGATGATGTACGTGAGGAAACCCTCCGTGGCTTGATGGAAATGGTTGCATGGGCATTTGGATGTCAAGCCAGCATTCCAAACATCCCTCCTCGCCTTCAGGTTAAAGGGATGCTTTTCCCGGTCCGCCAAAATTTTGTCGTTGCCCGATCGCCCCAGGATAGACAAGTTGCAAGAAAGGGGATACTTGAGGGTCCCATGGTTTTTGTGCAATGCAGAAGTGAAACATTATTCCATGACGAGAACGATCCAGCTGGGAACAGGTATATGGAGATATGCGACCTTTTACGCGAGACTGCTGCCATGCTTTTGTTGGCACAAGAGCGAGCTAGAGAAGGCACAGTTGAAACGCGACCTGGAGATGGAAAATGGTGGACCACTACGCCGCGATGGGGCGGAGCAGATAACCCCGGCCCAGAAGCCGATAAAGAAAACACCGATAAATCCAAGAAAACTATTTCTGATGCGGACACCCCATCAGCAAGTAAAAGATCTAAATATGATAGATCCTCACTTCCGTTTAGGCGACATGGGTCCAGCGGTTCAAAAAAGCTGAGCATTTCCGAGAGATGGAAAATCTTGCAACCTGGTCCGAGTCTGTGGGACAAGAAGATGATATATAAACAGATCGGGAAAGACAAAGATTCTCCTTTTGACGA